GAAAAAAAAAAAAAAAAAAAACAAAAACAAAAACAAAAAAAAAAAACGAAGGCCAATCCATTAACTCAAATATATGGCGTACTGTAGACAAAGCCCAAGACTAAGATGACAACTGTCGGCCACACCAACGGAGGACGTATGGAGTATGAAACAGTAGTGAAATAGCAGATGTTTCAGCACTCAAAAAGGTAGAGACAGTCCAATCGGACCTATTTACGAGATGATTAAGAAGAACACAAATCAACGTTTAAAAGCAAAATTTCGGAAGACCAACGTACCTTTCCACTCTGTTTGTCGAAGACGATTTTTACATTGGTGACCTGTTCACCCATTCGTGCGAATGCTCCTGCTATAAAATTTTGGTCCCAGTCGGTGCTCAAATCACCCATCCACAAAGTGCGATCCGTGTCATCATTTGGACGACTGATCGGGTAATTCATTGCTACTTGCTCCTGTAAAAACAATTCATTACAGCAACAATTATAATGCAGTAAATTTCGCAAGCAGTATCGCGAACTTAAAAGTTTGTAGGTTGTACTAAAGTGCGTGTCCTATGTGTGTGTTGTGTGTGTGGTGGAGTGTGCATGTTAAACAGCCACAAAGTACTCTAAGGAGCTTCGGCTCCTCAGAACAGAGTGGTGTGAAGCAACAGCGACTTCACGTGCCGGAGATGGGGAGCAGTGCTTTTATACCTCGGTGGCCACAAATCACAAAGACTGCATAACACTATAATGGGGATAAGGTGATCAAGGTACTGTATCATAGTGATGCAATGGCTCCTTACGCAATTTTTAACCAACAGACAATAAATCATTATTTGGCAGCAAACGCCTTCCAATTTTTCCTACGCCTGGTAACTACTAAAACTTAGCTCCGATTTGCAGTATACGCTCGTTTTTGGTTCGAGTTCGAACAGCGAAAGTCAGTGAGCGTCTTGATTTCAATGTTTTGGCTAAATTTGATTTGGCTAAGTTTTTATCAACTAAACTTGCTAAATCTAGTTCTTTAAAACCCACTGATTTCAATGTTTTGGCTGAACCGTGACCTTTGCAAATACAGCTCTTAATCTGTTTGTATGTGCTAGGACCGGTTGGAGCTCTTTATGTTACCTAGAACCCAAAGCAGTACCACATGCTTCTGTTTATTTTGAATTAGCGTAAAATCAAATATCCAACTAACACTCGGATTATGATTACCAAGAACTCAAATATGGTACCAAGTCTGAATGAAGAAGGTTTATTCGAAACTGAACAATTCAGTGTGGAACTGCATTAATGTGATTGAAAAAAAAAAAAAAAAAACAAATCCAGATTTTACTGATAATGATAAAAGAGTGAAAAACTATCACATTAGGAAAATAACAACCGTTTCGAGAGAAATATCACCCCCGTGAAACCAACGATTTACAAAAAAAAAAAAAATGCGGCGGTCCAAGAATACAGAGGTTTTTTTCAAAAAAGGAAGAATAACATTTCAGGAGAAAAATTTGCCAAAAAAAACAGTATTTACTCTAAATTTGTTGGTATTTCATTTACTAATACTGCCTTTATAAATCATAGCTTGGCATAGTTGTGTCCGTTGCATAAAAGTGTCCCAGTAATATCACTAATATAGGATTACCATACCGACTCGTCGGGTAGCTCCGATACTACAAAAGGAGTCCCCCAAAAAAAGGTAACCTTCGAAAATTATCGAAATCATTACCCTTTCCCCGTCCCTGCCCCCCCCCCCCCCCCCCCCCCCCCCCC